AAAAAAAAAAAAAAGAAAGAAAGAAAGAAAGAAAAGGTGAGGGCAGAGCCTGTGGCTCAATGGGTAGGGCACTGGCCCCATATACTGAGGGTGGTGGGTTCGAACCCTGCTCTGACCAAACTGCCACTCTACTGAGGGCAATAAAGTGAGACTCTATCTCTAAAAAATAAAAGATAAGTAAAAATAAAATAAAATAAAAAGAAAAGACGAGGTCAGAAAGAATTATAGAGCGGTGCCTGTGGCTCAGTGAGTAGGGTGCCAGCCCCGTATACCGAGGGTGGTGGGTTCAAACACAGCTCCAGCCAAACTGCAACAAAAAATAGCCGGGCGTTCCGGCTGGCACCTGTAGTCTCAGCTACTTGGGAGGCTGAGGCAAGAGAATCACCTAGGCCCAAGAGCTGGAGGTTGTTGTGAGTTATGATGCCACAGCACTTTACCGAGGGCAACAAAGTGAGACTCTGTCTCTAAAAAAAAGAAAACTTATAGATTTTCCTGTTTGTATATCTTTTGAACTTGGGTGCATTTCACTTCAGGTTCTCTACACAAACTGTTTCTAGAAATGCACATAACAGAGATGTGCATCGTGACCAACCTTCAAGGTGTCCCCACTATTTCATTAACAGCGTATCTTCAGTGCTAATACAACACATGGCACAGTGAAAGCAAGTGACAAGTACCTGGCAAACAAGTAAAGCTGTACCTTTTTCAAGTTTTAGATACACTGAGTTATCCTCATATAAAATTTCAAATTGAAATAAATGTTAAAGTGAGACAGAAGAAAACGTGCAGAGAAGTATTTTTACTTCTGAATCTCACAACTTGTCAAAGTTGGCTATTACAGGTTGACCCGTGTCCCCTCAAAAAGTTATGTTGCAGGCTGGGCATGGTGGCTCACACCTGCAATCCTAGCATGCTGGGAGGCTGAGGTGGGTGGATTGCCTGAGCTCAGGCATTCAAGACAAGCCTGGGCAACAGCAAAACCCCATCTCTAAAAAATAGCTGGGTGTTGTGTGGATGCCTGTATTCCCTGTGACTGGGGAGGTTGAGGCAAGAGAATTTTTTTGAACCCAAGGTTGCTGTGAGCTAAGATGCCTTGGCGCTCTACCGAGGGTGACAAAGTGAGACTCTGTCTCAAAAAAAAAAAAAAAGATATATTGAAGGTTTGGCATGGAGGCTAACACCTGTAACCCCGGCACTTTGAGAGGCTGAGGCACAAGGATCAGTTGAACATATGAGTTTGAGGGTGCTATGAACTATGATGATGTCATTTCAGTCTAGCCTGGGCAACAGAGGGAGACCTTGTCTCAAAAAGAAAAAAGAGGGGCAGGGCACGGTGGCTCACGCTTGTAATCCTAGCACTCTGGGAGGCTGAGGCTGGTGGACTGCCTGAGCTTACAGGTTTGAGACCAGTAAGAACGAGACTTTGTCTCTAACAAACAAAATAGCTGGGCATTGTGGTGGGTGCTTGTAGTCCCAGCTACTCGGGAGGCTGAAGCAAGAGAATCAC